CTAGGAAACCGTGGGACGTCTATGAATACCAGTAGGAGGCTGGAGCTGGCTTGTAAACATTAACTTCTAGAGGAATGCTTGACCCTTGAATAGATTTTTTTTTGTGTCCCCTCTTACCAATTTCTAGGTTGGTAGAGATTATAAAATCTCTTCCCTTTACTAAAAGTGTGCTTTCTAACAGTTTTTTCGCAAGGGACTAAAAGTTACATGTGAGTTTTGTAAAGTGATATAGACAAGGTAGTGAATTAATGTAAGGACATTATTAAGCCATAGCATGTAGACGTCTCTATTTCAGGGATTTGACTTGCAAACCCTTGGAAATGACAGCTATTTGTAGTTAATTCTAACAAATGTTTGTTGCGGGCCAACTATATGCCGGACACGCTTGGTGCTGAAGGTAAGGATGGTGAATACATTCTCACCCTCAAGTTCAAATCCAGTGGAGTAGTTAATAATCTTTTCTAAGGATGGGAAAAGTAACGTGTATGTGTGTGTGTGTGTGTGCTACGTAGGGAAGGCTTCTGGGAGAATATTCTTGATATGCTGTCAGCCAGAAGTCCCTGAAAACTGAATGATAGAAGTGTTAAGTTTTTTCTTTTCAAGCAATCATTGTTTCCTTGAAAACATTAAATTAAATATCAGTAGGAAGGAAGCTCTGCTGGTACAAATAAATGGTTAATACACCGCTGGGCTGTTAACCAAAAAGTTGGAAGCTGGAATTCAACCAGGGGCACTTTGAAAGAAAAGGTTGGCCATATACTTTTGAAAAATTAGCCCCTGAAGATCCTTTGAAGCATGGTTGTATTTTGATATAGAGGAAGTTACCGTGAGTGGAGTCAACTCAAGGACAACTGTTGTTATTTTTAATTATTAGGCAAATCAGCACAAATGGATGACTTATTTAAGAATTATTTTCTACTTGTGTATCTATCACTCTAAGTTTGCCAGAGGTTTACAGAAATGCAAAACTTATTTTTACTGTAAAGTCTAAAATTGAGCTTCAAATATGACAGCACCCAATCTAGTTCTAGAATTTAATAGTTTTGTATGAGAATGAAATAACAAATGGATTCATTTTAAAGATTCCAAACCATACAGATGTAAAAAGGGTATGCATATGTCTACAAGAACGTGGACAGGTTTTCTGTGAGGCCCTAACAACAACAAAGGCCTAATGGAAAAAGGAAGAATGATGAGGTGTGGATAAAGAAAAGTCAGCATTAAATTGGGCTCATTTCTTATTCTTATAAATAGTAGAGTTTAGGATTTCATTAAAATAATCTTAACAAGAAATACATTGTTAGGAGGTTACCTGTGAAATGAATTAAGTATAGAGATTTTAAGAGCACTTCTAAAATACAGAACTTATTTCCATGGCCGGGCCAACAGGCTTCACATTTTATTTTTATTTAATTAATTATTTTTTAATCATTTTATTAGGGGCTCATATTTGTGTAAAGCACATTTGTACGTTCATTGCCCTCATCATTCTGGAAACATTTGCTCTCCACTTAAGCCCCTGGCATCAGCTCCTCACTTTTTTCCCCTCCCTCCCCACTCCCCCCAGGCTTCACATTTTAAGTGGTAATTAGAAAATAGTAAATTACACTAGATCTTGAATCTTCCCCCCCCCCCATGATCAATTAATGTTTGATCAATTTAATGAGAGTAATGAGATTACTATTCTCTTTGAGAACTATAGTAAAGTAGAAATTTAAAGAAAGATTTTTTTCCTACCTAAATTGCTAGTGCTTTAAAATTTTTGTTTTTAAAAATATGCTTTGAGTACATAGAAATAGCTTAATTAGTTTTCTGAGTGGAGGATTCAGATATCTTAGGTCTATTTAAAAATTCTGAAGATAGTACTTGATCTGAATTCAGTTAATAGGAATTATGGGATCTCCTGTAACTTCCTGTTCAATCACAGGGTGTTGTCTCATGAGAATATAAATGAAGAAACTTGTTATTGTGCATAATTTTCATGATGGTTACATCATATCTCTAACAATTCTCAGCAGGCCTTTTAATCCTTTTTCCATAATTAAATGCAGTACAAAATTAAAAGGCAAAGTGAACAAATTATGAATCATTTTTATTTCTTACATTGCATACCATTTCTCAATCAACATTTCTCTTTTATTCATCTTCTGTGTAGCAGATAGCCTTAATGAAAACCCGTAATGTGTTCTTAAACATGAGAAAAGATATCAAAGCAATGATATATTTAGAATTTAGATGGTATTTAGAATTCACAAAACAATACATGAAAATCAGAGATTAATAAAATAAATAAGGCAACCATCAGATTGCTAGCTTTGTTTACAATATTTTTAAAATTTTGTGTTAGAGGTTAGAAAGTCATGTGTTTAACCAGATATCTAATTTGATTTGCTATTTCATCAGTTGTACATTTAAATATTGTCACCACAAATAATTAAAAAATTTCCATTAGTTCTTATATTCATTTATTTCTAAAATACAAATTAAAGATTCCTTTTTAAAAACAGTTGCTTTGAACCTAGAAAGCTTTATCTGTAAGACAAAAATTTTGTAAATAGTTTAACCTTTAACTGTCTTTTGTCACAGCTGCCAAGTAGGCTTGTGCAATATGATACTTTATGTGGTACACTTCCCATTTTGGCTTTTAGAGGGTCATCACTTGGGTTTTGCAAATCCCCAAGGGGACTATTGCCAGAATTCAGAGGACTTATGAATTGTATTTTCAGTTTTTAACTGAAATACAGCATTTTCTTTAAGTATGACTGTAAACAACAAACCACAGCAGTAGTACTGTCTTTGAGTTTGTCCCCAGTCGAGATCACATATTTTTATATCACATTGCATTTGCTGAAAATCCCAATATTTTTATTTTTTTACTAGTTTGAAGTTATGATAGTTATTAGATTTGTTTAATTTTGTTTGTTAATTAAAAAGCACAGTTTAAAATATTTTGATAGCAAGCTTTATTTTACTATGTGTTTTATACATTTGAAAACATTATTATGACATAAGGTCCATCCATAGGCTTTACCATACTGTCTAAGGCACAAAAGAGTTACTTTTTAAAATATTCTGTTTAGTTTCCTGCAACAACTTATTTGCTTTCTATGAAAATTTTATAAACTTTATTGACTAATGGCCATTTTAAGGAGCCCTGATAGCACAGTGGTTATGCTCCTGACCTGTTAATTACATGGTCCACAGTTCAAAACCACAGGAGAAAGAGGAGACTTTCTGCTAGTAGAGTTAGAATCTTGGAAACTCAAATGGGCAGTTCTACCTTGTCCTAGAGTGTCAATATGAGTCGGAATTGACTCACTGGCCGTGAAAATGGTTATTTTAATCATTTAGTACAGTGGGCTTCAAAATATATATTTTTTGTTGTGCTCTTGTCAAATTTTACAGAGCAAATTAGGTTCATATTTGACAGTTTCTACATAAATTGTTTGGTGACATTGTCTTTTTCACAATGTGTCAATATTCTTTTTACTTGCATTCTTGTTGTTCCATTTCCAGTAGCACGTTTCCCTGACCTCTAGTTAGGTGGTTTTAAAATTGAAATTCCCCAGACCAACAGCGTCAGCATTACCTGGTGAATCAGAATCAGAAAGGAGCCTTGCAATATGTGTTTGTCGCAAGCCCTCATGGTTTTGGTGCATGTTTCAGCTGGAGAACCATTGGTTTACTAGGTTTCCTTTTGCTCCAGCACATTAACTTTGTTGCGATTTGTTAGCTGTTTGAATTGGCTCAACTTGAGCCCATGTAAAACAGGTGAACTGTGTAAAACAAGGACATGCTGCCAGACTCTGCATCATCCCCATGATCACTTGTAGTTTTCATTTCCTAATTCAGAAGTAGATTCTCAGGCTTGCCTATTCCAGAAACTCTGCTCAAACCTGTTCATTATAATGACCACATGCAAGCCTTCGCTGTCAGGTGGTGGTAGTGTATGAATTGTATTGCCTAGGAATTGAACCCTAAGCACCTGCAGGGAAGATGAGAATTACTTCACTGAACAAACTACCACTTCCCTGTTCCTGCTGAGTCAATTCCAACCATTCTACCCAGGGACTCCCTTGTGGCACCAGATAGTCTAAATTACTTATTTAAAAGGAGCCCTGGGTTAATCATTGAACTGGTAACTGCAAGATCACTAGTTCAAATCCATCAGCTACTCTTCATAAGAAAAATGCTCCTTGGGCAA